GAGTGAGGTGGGGGAAAAGGAAAAAGAGCCACCATCTGAAATCTGGTATCTTAATACATTGGGAAACCTATTCCCTATCCTAATACATTGGGAAGTATATAACCTATGTTAATACATAGGGTGCTGACCGGATACTCTATAGCCTATGTTGAAACACGGGGGTCAGCACCCAAACACCCCCCCCCCCCCTGATCACCTCACTCTTCTACTACTACTGCCGCTTTCAGCTCGTAATCAAGAACTTCAACTCGATTTTGCCGGGTTCGCTTATTGACGAAAAGGCAGGCAATATACATATCCTAGTCGCGATTGATCGTTTCTCAAAATACCCTTTGGATATGTTAACTAAAACAACAAGTACGAAAAAGATGGTCAATCCCTCGAAATCTGATATTCGTAATCATGGCTGAGCGGAACAGATTAGAACCGACCACAGTACCGGATTTAAAAGCGCTTTAGTGAATGAGTTTTGCAAAAGTAGAAGTATAAACATATCTTTACATCAATTGGGGACCACAGAAGTTGTGGCTTGGCGGAGAGACTGATTCAAACTATCAAACGGAAGTTGGAGACCAAATGTTTTGACCCAAACTTTAAAAATCTAAAGTTTACGCTACAACACATCATTGATGACATCAGGAAAATGAACCACGCCACCTTAAATATCTCTGTTCGAACTTCATTTTGGAATTTTCAGTAGCACGCGATAATGTGGTACATTCTCGTTCTTCAGCTAAAGAATTAGGGAGGAACCTTCTAACGCCGGAACAACTGAAAAGCCAGGACTACAGCAGAGATAGGGTAAAAGTGGTGCCACGGGGAGAAAACAACATTCCGGACATACCATACAGATTCAACCCACTGTTTGGCGTTGGAGATATGATTGCGGATAGTCAGCCGTACAAAGCCCTGGAAGGACTACCTAAAGCACCCAACATCTGGAATCAACTCAAGCGTAACGTTCAACCTCAACAGGGAAGAGAAATTCTGTCGGAATAAGCCTCCAGAAATAGTGACATCGCGAACTTGCTAAAAACTGGGATCACGAAAGGCACATTATGATTCTACGATCACGTGGGGAACCCTCAAATACAGGCCTTGTCGCACTCCCAAAGGCTGAACGTAGCGGCGTTTTTGAGGCCGAAACGAACCTCAAAAACGCTTAAATTAGGAAGTCTAATTTTAGAAGATCCGCTTAGAGTCAAAATATTCCGAAAACTTGTTGATGGAAACTCTGGAAAACCTCTGTTTAAATTAGCTAAGATCAAGATTGTTTGAATTACGGACAACACATAAATTACTGACAAAGAAAAGTATTTCCGAAAACTCATATCATCTTTAGGCCAAACTTCAACGTTCGTGAGTTTCAGCGACACCAGGCACAACAGGCGAGAGTACACAAAGAAAAATTGCCCCTTGACCGGCTACTCAAAAATCCACATCCCCGGCTTCAAGACAGACCAGCAGACCTGTTAGAGGTACGGTGTTGGACCTCACTGCGGAGTCATCAAGTGAAGACTCAATCACGGCTGGACTATCTTTTGAGCTAGTAGAGGCTACGGGAACTACCACAGCGCCTCTCCATAAAGATCAGACAGGGTCATCTCACATTCACATTGCAACTCCAGCACAGGCGAACGTGCACGTCGAGCTAGAGGCAGGGCCACAGAGGTCCTCAGTTTCTATCCTCTTTCGGGATGATTCTACAACAGAACCGAACAGCAACGAACCGACTAAGTGTGATTCGACTAGGTCAACAATACGATCTAAAAAACCAGCAAGATTTTTTGGTGATCCATTACGGCAATCCGTCAAAAGCATCGAATCTACAGAAATGCACGAGTTAACCCAACCAGCCAAAGACCAAACTGAGCAATCCCGACCTCCTCCGTTTGCTCCAATCAGCAGACCAGAACGCGCCTCACCTTTCCTACGGACTAAAGAGCAGGTCACTTGTTCAAGGAATTACGACCCTCAGACCTTCATTTTTCAAACCATTTAGATTTGATAGTTTTATATCAAATCCATTCATTGACTAGCTATAATACATTTTTGCCCCTTCAAAAGTCAAATAAAATCTTCCATAAATTTTTTTCAAGTGTGGGACATGTAAGGAGGCGACCTTCGGTACCTCGCTCTTTTTTATCAATTTATCCGTATCTATAAGTATAATCATACCTTTTAAGTAAAAAGGCAGTAAGTTGTTCAGGGACACTTTCCACCAGTCCGTATGTTTGTCACACATAGTTGCCGTAAAGTCAGTTGCGAAACCCTAGATTGTTAAAATCAAGCTGCTAAATTTCTCATTCAAACATATTCAATTCTTGATGTTCTGAATCTAAATACATTATTCTATTCTTTTTTATATATTCATTTATAAACTTACTATTCACAATTTATACTCAATTTTTCTGGTCACAATGTGAAGTAATAATGTCACCTAACCTATCAACAAATATTGCGTTTTAATTTAAAGGTGTTGCATCAATGGTGAGTGGAGTGACTCTTGAACAAGCTTTATGTACGGAGACAGTAGTGATTGCGCACTTGAAATGTCGTTAGTAATATTGACAAATGATAGCTGAGACCATTCAGGGTCCCATATATAATCTGTTTGGTCTGCTAGTAGCATCTTCTGAAGTTTATTGTCGGATTTTTTTCTTGCTGTTGAGATTAAATCTAATTTGTGAACAAAATAGTCTTTTATGAACCATGCTAAGATTCTTTTTAAATCAACTTTTACTATTTGTGATAATTCATTATGGTGAGTGTTTCTCAAATTGTATCTAAAAATCGCGATAAAAGGTTGATTTATTGTCTTACTGTTGCATGTCGAGATGTTTGAGTTGGTGATACATTTAATACTTCGTTTGTTTCTAATATTGAAATATAAATAATTGCGAAAAAGTCGTTTGTGAAAATCGAATTTGCTCTTTGTGATTTTTGATGTTGAATATTTTTAATATATACTGTAAGAATTTTGATAATTTTATGTCTACGTAATCTGTTTGTATTCTCTGTGGTGTATGTTTTTTTTTGGTTTGATTTGTTCAATAGTAAATATTCCGTAATATGAAATGATATTATTGGTTCCTGGTAGATAGTGATCGAGTATTTGTCTTCTAATTTTTACTCCGGGAAATTCTTGGTTACATGAGCCATTTCCTTTTTAAACAAATTAGCAGTCAAACTATGACAAAAAATTAACTTGATCTCTAGCGGGATCACTCTCTGGGTGAATGACAAAAGAAACAAAAGAATTATCATCGAAATTTTTGTGGTATTGAATCATTTTTTGTTTTACTGTAAATGTGTAACTTTAAATGTGTCTTATTGGTTGGTTCCAATTATAGAGTCGTACCGGTTCAATTTTCTAATCCGAACGTTTCGTGTTTTTGGACTACTGCCCTTTTCTATAAAATTTTTTCTCTCAAGCTCTGAGTCCAAAACTGATTTTTAAAGGATTTCAGTGTTCAAATTTTCACGTTAAAGTTAAAATTGTGTTTCGAGTGTCTCAATTCTTTCACTGACCCAATTCCGTAGATTGTAACATACTGATTGTAACATACTGATTGTATCTGTCTGATTGAAAAACAATGATTGATGTCTGGGCGGAAATTGAAGATTGGGCCATGGAATGAATTTATGGGTGTTGCCATAACTTTTTCTGGCCCAGATATGGTGATACCTAATGAAGAAGATTTTGAACAGATACTATTAATTAAATTTCATTTTCGAAATTAGAAGTCGATCATGTTTTGATGATTTTTACATTTGTGCTCTTCGACTTAAAAAGAAATCAGAGGTCAAAGCGCGAAATATTAACATTGCGCGTGAGCAAATTTTGAGGCTTTTTTTTGAAAGAGCAAAAAAAATCGACAAGATCTATATAGGAATACTCAGTACGTTCACTACTTTATGATAATTAGAAAAAAATTTTACACACAGAGGCGAAGCTGCGCTTCGCAAAAACTAACATGAACACGACAAGAAGCAGTTCTCTAAAGTAAAATAATAAAAATAAATACATCTCGAATTAGCCAGAACTCGGCTACGTGTCGGATTCAATCATGCGACCTAGAGATTATAAGTCTGTCCACTACCCACTCAACCCCGGATGCTTAAATTTTTATTATCACTAGCCACGGATAAGTCAGCTACATATGCTAATCAATTACCAATCGATGGAGCAAATATGGCACCAAATACAAAAAGACACAATTTAGCCTGGCACCAAAGTAGCAGCAAACACAAAAGATACAATTAGGTATAAATCATGCATTTCAAAAAAAATTCAGTTACATTGATTTGGAAATTTTCTGAAATCGAATTTATCTACCATTGTACTGCTGTTTTAAACAAATAACACTTTTCAACTCTTTTGATGAATTAAAAAAAGTATCAAGTGTATTAATTTTGACTTATCAAATTACAAAGCATGTGTGCTATTATACTGCTACAGCAGCCTACCGATTCAAAAGTGCCACCAAAAATAGCACTTTAATAGGCGAATTAGGTTGAAAAAAAAATTGTACTAAAACACTTTATACTCGCTTATAGTTATCATTTTCGTTTAGTGTTCAGTTGTTGTTTTTCAACTAATTTTGCAACTATCAACATTTTAAGTTGCAGAGAGCTACTCAGTTAAATCAATAACTTGATTTACAGGGATTAAACTACATTCACACTGTAGTGATAAGAAATTTTTACAAAAATGGCATATTTAGTTAAGAAACAAGGAAAAAACTACTACGATATGGACAATTGGTATTTTTTGCTTCCGCTCTAAAAACTTTCGATGAAACTAAAATTTTACAATACGCTTTTTACGCCATTATCTTCATTTGAGAAAGTGATTTGGAAATGATTGACTAAATAATAGAAGTACAAACCGTGGGAAAAAAAACAAATGATGGTACAACTCAGCGCGTTCATTATCAAACAAAGGCAGAGAAAGAAATTCTTTAAGTATGAAACTTTGTTTTAATAAATTAACGTACCTTTCTGTCGTTTTTTGTAGTGTGTTCGGTGTTTGGATCCTTTCCAATGAGCTCATTTAACTTTTGAGCTTGGTGAAACACTGAGTCAACGATCAACTGTATTTTTGTTGAACAAAATTGCTTCCCATGTTCTGCATCGACTTTGTGTATATCACGTACGTTTTTGATTAGAATGATAGTGTTCGACGCCCGTGCTGGGAGAAACAAACACCCATGTCTTATTTCATCCGTAATCTTTCGTCCTCTTATCAAAAGCCCATTTTCGCCACTCTGTAAAATCGCATAGATAATTTTTGAATAACCCTGTGTAAATTTTGTCAAGGGGTTAAACTGATGAAGTTCTGATGGGAAACTTGGGACAACTTTCAAAGAATGATGAAAGTCTTCCAAAAACGCTTGTGAAACGTCAATTCCTGTTGGCTGATTTTTTGGTACCTGAAACAAATTTTTAAAATTCAAATGTACGTAACATTCAGAAAAGTTATGATATGAAACCAAGTAACATTTTCAAGATACTTCTATGGTAAATTTGACCTATGTTAATCATTCAGCTATAGTTCTTGTTCTTGGGAGACGAAAAAAAAATTACTTGTTGAATTGTTTGCTTGCTGACAAGTTTAATTTGGTCGATGAATTTGGAAAAAATTATCGTTGTACTGCCTGTCTGTATACCACAATCTACCTACCTCATCTGTGAGGGCAATATCGCATCTGCAAACTGTGCACTTGGGCTTCGTTTTCTTCAGAACTTGCGAAATGCAGTTATGGCAGAATCTATGACCACAGTTTAAAGCCACTTCATTCTCAACAGCGTGCAAACATATTCCACACTCATCCATCAAATCCTAAAAATTTCAAAAAAAGTCCCCTGTGAAAAAATAGAATTATTTTATAACACAAAGAAAAACTTGAGAAGACCACTAACCAAAGAAAAACAGTACAATTTATTACTTCTTTACAAGTTTCATATAGACATATATTAAAAGATAAATAAAAACTGAAATAATAATTATATGAAAATACAGAGGCCAAACAGAACTTTGCGTCACTTGCAATGCAAACTAAAAGTTGAAGCTGAGAAAAATGTGTCGCGAAAAAAAACTACATTAAAAAACTTTCATCTAAATAAAAAAAGTTTGTATCTGCTAATGTTTACTTTTAGGAGCATCTTCTTTCGAGAAAAGCCATCAACAGCGTTAAAATTTTGACCGCCACGTTGAGCCGTTGTAACTGATGAAGACAATCATTGAACCGATTTTATGATTAACGTACATCATTTTGGGCTATAAAGATTTGCAACTCGATGAGTTATCCCCTCCAGAAACACACAAAAGCCTTAACAAATCTTTTTGACTTGAAATGGCCTTAGTTGACATCCCATTTGAAATATCCCATCCAAAACCTTTTAAGCCTAAAAAACATTCCACAAAACGTAAAAAGGAAAGAAAAAAACGAAATTATACAGGTTCATAGATAGAAGTTTTTTTAATTACGGAAACGAATCAAATATTTCTAGCACTTCAAACGAAAAATAAACTGACAAATAAAAGTCCGATAACTAAAACTCTCTCTGAAAACATTTCATTAAAATCAGCTACCGGATAGTATCAAACTTATTACTTTTGCCGTCTCAAGCATGGACGTTTCCTCCAAACTAAATAGGGTTGAATTGATATGTCTAACTTGATGTACTTTTGAAGTAAAGTGAGCAAACGTTCCAATGATATTGTTAAACAATTAAATCCTATAAAAGCAAGCGCAATAAATACAGCAAGTCGCGCAAACATAAAAATAAGGTTAATGAAATTTAATGAACGAACTAAAAAGCCGACAAAAATCCTGAAAAAAAATTTCCAGAAAACTTTTTCTCGTTTGTTTTTTAAATATGATTCAAAAAAGCTGAAGAGTGATTTAATTTTTTGAAAACTCTGGTTAGAGTGCAACCGTTTACACAGTGCCGAAAATCTACCAAACATTTTGGTCAAAGATTAAAAACTTTTGCTACTCTTAACGTTCCATCAAGTGCGTATGCAGTTAACACACTCTAATCATTTTATTGTTAACCATGAATCATGATGGTTACCATTTGCCCCTTCTATGAAGAAAGCGACGGGATAAAATGTTTCTGTAAAAATGAAATATTTAAATCAGTAACTGAAAAAAAGAAATGTATAAATGTGACATATTAAAATTTATAAATATATGAAACTATTATAAATATGCAATCAGGTAAACTTTTACGTTCAAATATATTTAAAATTTTAAATATATCATTGTAAATAAGTTTGCTTTTTTTCTTTATTTTGCAATTTGGTTACTCAAAAACTGTTCAATTTAGAAAAGAGCGACTTGTTCACGCCTTCCAATTTAGCATTAAAAAAAAGTCAACCAATGTTTTACAATTTTAATTGAAGACCAACAGTATAAATTTACCGTTGATTTAGCCAGGACCTTGACGTAACTAGCGACTGAAATTGTTGTACCAGTTAACTTTACCCATGAAACTTTTCTAATTTTACCGATATGTCTCTACAAACTGCTTTCTAATTGATTCTATATTTTAATTGATTTTGTATTTAAAAAAACTCTTCTATTTTCGAAATCAGAAGAGACCAACGTGAATCGATTTTAATAATTCATATTGTATTAAACATGCTGGTGTCCGTTATGTGCTTAATCAACAGTAGATGCAAAACTGTCAACGAGTGGGTGCCGGACATCAAGCCGACGGGACTTCAAGCCGAATCGTAAAATTAGGGACTTCAAGCCGAACATTTTCTCATTAAATGATGAAATAAGATTAATTTGAACACTTTTCTGAAGATTTGCTCATCTTCATGATCTTTAGTCGGTATTTATTAGCGTTTTCATAAAATTTAAACCTCCAAATGATGTTTAGGAAAGTTGAAAAATAAAACACGGTTGAAGGTAACTTTCTTGTTTATAATTTATGCATTTCAAAAACCGGCTGATATTATTAACTAATGCCAATCCTAAGTGATTCATTGTCGTAAATAACGCTTATTATGGACTAAACTAGCGTAAGATTTTGAAAAGCAACGTTTTACAGATGAAAATATTGATTTGAGGTGCTTGTAAAGTTTAATTTTCGGCCTGAAGTCCCTTCGGCTTGAAGTCCCGTCGGCTTTTTGTCCTAGACCCTGAACGAGTACCTGCACATTAGTGTTAGATGGAAACTAATGTCAATGTCAAAATCAATTTACACAGAAATGCTTTTTCAATTACGCACAAATACAAAAATTGCAATTGACATGAGCAAAAATCAAGATCGTCGGGATCTTTGGATGATAACCCAATCAATTATCAAATGTTGTTTTAAGAAAGCTCGAAATCATTCACAAAAGAAGGACAATTGAATGATAGAGGCGGCTTCGTATTTGAAACTGTTTTGCCAGAAAAAGAAAAACTATTTGAAAAACATTTTACAAGTCTATCTATGACAGAGGTGTATACACCTTATACTCTTGTTCTTGACAAAAGAACTGCTCAGCAGTAATTGCAGATACCTAATTCAAAGAAAAGTGGAGAAATCTTGAAACTTAAAATGATTTTGCTGCAAAGCCTAAAAGATAAAAAAAAATGACTATATAGCGGTTATTGTAGCGGTACAAGTTGCGAGAAATTGTGCAAATTGATCAGACTGATGAAATTGAAACCGTTACTGAAACTGTTGCACTAACTAAAATTTGTTTTTAAAGTTCATAATGTTTTTCTGCATTTCCAATGAATAAAAAAAGGAATTCCATGGAATATTTTTCTGTATAAATGGCCGATATAAATCTCGGGGAAATTAGAAGACAGTAGTAGAGGTTGGAGCTGAAGTGTGGGGGGGGGGGGGGAGGAAGGGGGAACGAAACTTTTTTGAGTTTTGAGTGGAAATGTCTAGTTTTTTTAGCAAAAATTTTGGCGCGTGTTATCTAATTTGTAAAAATCAAAGGTTAATTACGTATAGATTGTGTAATGAAGGACTTTTATTTAGTTTTTTGGTGCATGATATTTGGTGTATGGTGCAATTTTTTTTATCGAAAAAATTGAAAAAACTTCCAAAAAAACTTCAAAACACGATAAAGTTTGTTGTAATTTGACTTATTTTATTAGATACTTTTACTTTCTATCAACCTGAAACTATGCTGAAGCCTACGGTAACTTCGAAAAAAGTCAAGGTTTTTGGAGAAAAATTTCAAGAATTTTAAGTTTTTCGGAAAAAAAATTGCAAAAATATGGATTTTTCCACAATTTTCAGTCAAAAGATTAAAATATGATAAAATTTATCCTTTTGAGAGCTCAGAAACAGGTTATATAAAGTTTTAAAAATCAAAGTTAAAGCTCATAATGGCTTCAAACCTACTGAAACTTTGAAAAATTCAAATTTTTTGGCAACACTCCAAAAATTCAAAGTATTTGGAAAAAATTGCAACAATTTCATAGTTTTGGTTAATTTTTTGTTGCTTCTGATCGAATTGAAACAATATACGTAGGAAAAAAATTAAATTTGAGCTCAAACTGTATTTAAGTGGCATCATGTTGGGACAAGGATACAAAAATTTGAATAAAAATTTGAATTTTTCCATAATTTTCAATCAGAATATTGAAATACGATAGATTTAAGCATGATTTCAACAACAAAGCCGGTTATATAATGCTCTCAACATTAACAGGAAAGCTCACAATAGCTGAATCATTATTGGAACTTCCGGAAAACAGTAGAAACTGTCGTTTTTTTGAGATGGTAAAAATTAATCAAATCTATCAAAAATTTTAAATTTTTAACCTTTTATTTGGGCAATTAGCTGGTTTTTTGTCCAAACCAACATTAAGAGCAAGATTTTACAAAACTTCTAGATCAAACTCCACGATTTAACTCCTCCTCAGTTTTTTCTCAATGATCAACCCAAATTTGTACAAAAATTCCAAATTCTGAGAAGTTTTTTTCACGTTTATAGTGAAAAAAAAGTTCATTACAATGATGAAAAATGAACAGTTAATTGCTGAAAATGACTAAAATTGGGATAAATTTTTCTTAAAATTTATTCGATAATGGCTCAAGTTCAACAAAATCTTCTTCATAACTGATGATTATCTCTCTGTTGCTTCTGCAACACAATTTTCATGGTTTTCCGTAGAAACTGTCTATGTTTTAAGGTTTTTCTTGCTTTCGGCTTATTACATGTTTTCGCTTTTGAACTCATTTTGCAGAAAAAGTTAGACAAAACTGGAGAATTTAGGAGGAAAATAAATTCAATTGAACGAACAATTTGCTAGCAGAGATGAAATTAGAACTGATACCGTCTGATTATTACGATGAACATTGCAAATGTCTTCCTCAAGGTTCCCTTGTTCAATTGCTAGAGTAAACTATCTAAGCAAAAATACAACATTTGGGATCAATAACTATCACTTTTTTTGCAAAATAGTAATTAAATCGCTTTTTATTCCTAATTTATGACGGAAGTTTTCTCAAAAATATCCAAAGGAAAAAAAATTGGTGCTAGTTAAAGCATTCAAAAACATATGTAAAAAATGAGAATATAAGGGTGTTTTTTTGTATTTAAGAACAAATTGAGAGCAGCTTTATTAGTTATAATCTGAAAAACTCCGGAAATACTCAAGGGTACCTAGTTCTTAACATCTACATTATCTAAAAACTTCTAAATGAGCGCGGTTCAAAAAATTGGTTTAGCAAATGAAATCAATGTGCAATTGGAACAATTGTATAATTTTCTGCTTTTTATTAACCAAAAAACTATATAGTAAAAAAATGGAATTATAGATCTTGAAAGCAAGTTTTTGATTTATGCTTATGTATCTTCTTCCAAAAGAT